CTCAAAAACGCTGTCTCTGCCTTTAATTGAAGGGTTGTCACGGCAACCCGCCATAAAAGAGCCACAACAGTGCCGCGAGGCTCTACACGGACAGGAAATCATGAGTGTGTGTGTGTGTGTGTAAAAGAGATGAGTGTTTAATAATAATGCTGTCACAGCTTCCCCCTCTGGTGACAGAGGGTGTCAGTACTAAACACAGCCACCAGATGGTACTGTCTCAGTGTGTGTCTCAGTGTGTTGTGAGGCTGGGAGGTGGTAAACTGTAGACACGTCTGGAGCGCTCTGACTGTCATTAGATGAGCCACATGGCAGCGCTAGCCACACAACCATCTGGAGCCCACCACACACGCACACACACACGATCATACAAACACTCTCATGCACACACTGCTGCACAACGGACGGAGCCAATGCATAATCAACTTAGTTAGCTAGTCCTCTCTCTCTCAGTTTGAAAGTGTTTACCAAATAGATGAGCTGTGTGTATGTGTGTGTGTCTGTGTGTATGTGTGTGTGTCTGTGTGTATGTGCCATGACACAAACAAGCCATTTGAGAGTCAATGAGAAGAGAAAGACGTGTTTGCTAGTTGTGTGTAATGTGGTGACAGACAGACAGACATTGGCGGTCACCTCTTTACTCTCTCTCTGGGCAGTGAGTTGAGTGGAGACACAGGGCCTCAGGGACCGAGACAGGGGCCGTTTTATTTAGAATGTATGGCCCGGGTCCAGTTTCATGACAGCCCAGCCAAATTGCTGGGCATTAAGAGCTGGAACATCATTTCAATTGAATGGTGACAGTTTTATTAGGGCCCATAATGGCCTGGCTAAACGATGGAAGCTCTCATCCCTGATTGGTTTGGAGGGATGGAAAGTTTTCAGCCAAAGCAACAGAGGTTAAGATCTGGGAGACGGGAAGGAGTGTGAGCTATTGGCTGCAGGGGTTGAGGTCATTTCCATTTCCATTCAGTTCAAGTTAGGTGAATTGAAATTCCAATTGGAAGAAAAATGAGTTTGTGACTGCATCTCCAGCCAATGTGGTATGGGTGGGGGGGCAAATAATTTCTGTTTCCCCACTGCAGATGGCCATGTTTGAAACAGACTGAATCGTGTCAAGTGACTACTATGACCTTTCACCCTCACCGCCTGTCTGTCACAAGATGTCCGACAAACAAATCTGACGTTCCACCGTGGCGTACTGCCTCAGGGTGGTGGCGTGGAGGAGCTAAATGCTACGTGGGTTTGATGTAACGTGACTGAATCTACATCAGTTAGCTAGCAGCTTCATGGGCCAGCAGGCAGCGTTTCTAGGAGAGCGCTCGCGTTTTGACCTTCCAGCTCTGCTCGACCGCCGCCAGAGCACAGACTGAGAAAGTGGCTCAAACACAGCCAGGGTCCGACTACCGCACAGATGGCTCATTGAGAGTGTGTGTGTGTATGGGCATCCCTCATGAGACAAAAACGACTTAACACTCCCGGCACCCAATTCCTTTCCACACTTCCTGGTCTCACATCTTCTGCTTTCTTCTCTCCTCCAATCCCCTGCTTCCCCTCTCCCTCTATTTTTCATTCTGCTCACATACACTCTCTGTATGCCAGTCTAATAAAGAAAGAAATGTGCAACCGGCAGTAAATCAATTCCCCAAATTACATTGACCTTTCTCTGTTAGTTAGTCACCATGGAGCGACCTGCCACCGCCTGGCTCTCTGACTGGTAGTCTTCTACCAGTTGATCAACAATTATTGATGGTGTGTGTGTGTGTGTGTGTTTGTGTGTGTGTGTGTGTGTGTGTGTGCACGTAGCACCAGTATAATGGCTGAGTCATTGTGGAGCATTGTTGCAATCATTGACTCCACACTTCAATAGGGCAGGAGGATTATGTGGGCTTCCTGATCACAGTAGGCTTAACTACTACTAATGTCCTGCGATTAACCTCTACAGTGGATGGGATCACTCCCTTTCTTTCTCCTCCATGAGCTCGCTCTCTCTCTCTCTCCTGAAATACAAAACGATACTGATATCACATTAAACAAGGTCCATCAAGTAGAGGTTTGCTACCTTATAGAAGAAATTGAACATTTTCTGACTTTGACCACATTGACATTGAGTTCCATATACAATTTTAACAGATGTCATACCCCAATTCTATCCTTCCTCATAAGGCCCAAGTAATGTACCTGTATAAGCACAGCTCTCATATAACTGATCTATCTGACGTGATCATCTATACAATACAGCACATTGGTTTGGTGAACAACAACATTACAATCATCCCTGAGGAAACAAGAGGAGAATCAGAGTATGACTCATCGTCTATTTATTTCACGTGTAATTCTCTGTACACAAAAGTCTTAAATACTAGACTTTTATAAAATAAAGGTCACATAACAAATAGAAAAACTGAGACACCTTAAAAATGAGTCAACGTTTTTATCAAGCAGGAAATTCAATCAATAAAATCTTCACCTCCTAGAGATACAAGTGGAAGGGATCACTCCCTCTCTCTCTCCTCAATGATACAAAACGATACTGATACAGTGAGGGAAAAAAGTTTTTGATCCCCTGCTGATTTTGTACGTTTGCCCACTGACAAAGACATGATCAGTCTATAATTTTAATGGTAGGTTTATTTGAACAGTGACAGACAGAATAACAACTAAAAAATCCAGAAAAACGCATGTCAAAAATGTTATAAATTGATTTGCATTTTAATGAGGGAAATAAGTATTTGACCCCTCTGCAAAACATGACTTAGTACTTGGTGGCAAAACCCTTGTTGGCAATCACAGAGGTCAGACGTTTCTTGTAGTTGGCCACCAGGTTTGCACACATCTCAGGAGGGATTTTGTCCCACTCCTCTTTGCAGATCTTCTCCAAGTCATTAAGCTTTCGAGGCTGACGTTTGGCAACTCGAACCTTCAGCTCCCTCCACAGATTTTCTATGGGATTAAGGTCTGGAGACTGGCTAGGCCACTCCAGGACCTTAATGTACTTCTTCTTGAGCCACTCCTTTGTTGCCTTGGCTGTGTGTTTTGGGTCATTGTCATGCTGGAATACCCATCCACGACCCATTTTCAATGCCCTGGCTGAGGGAAGGAGGTTCTCACCCAAGATTTGATGGTACATGGCCCCGTCCATCGTCCCTTTGAATGCGGTGAAGTTGTCCTGTCCCCTTAGCAGAAAAACACCCCCAAAGCATAATGTTTCCACCTCCATGTTTGACGGTGGTAATGGTGTTCTTGGGGTCATAGGCAGCATTCCTCCTCCTCCAAACACGGCGAGTTGAGTTGATGCCAAAGAGCTCGATTTTGGTCTCATCTAACCACAACACTTTCACCCAGTTCTCCTCTGAATCATTCAGATTTTCATTGGCAAACTTCAGACGGGCCTGTATATGTGCTTTCTTGAGCAGGGGGACCTTGCGGGCGCTGCAGGATTTCAGTCCTTCACGGCGTAGTGTGTTACCAATTGTTTTCTTGGTGACTATGGTCCCAGCTGCCTTGAGATCATTGACAAGATCCTCCCATGTAGTTCTGGGCTGATTCCTCACCGTTCTCATGATCATTACAACTCCACGAGGTGAGATCTTGCATGGAGCACCAACTGTTGTCACCTTCTCACCAAGCTGCTTGGCAATGGTCTTGTAGCCCATTCCAGCCTTGTGTAGGTCTACAATCTTGTCCCTGACATCCTTGGAGAGCTCTTTGGTCTTGGCCATGGTGGAGAGTTTGGAATTTGATTGATTGCTTCTGTGGACAGGTGTCTTTTATACAGGTAACAAGCTGAGATTAGGAGCACTCCCTTTAAGAGTGTGCTCCTAATCTCAGCTCGTTACCTCTATAAAAGACACCTGGGAGCCAGAAATCTTTCTGATTGAGAGGGGGTCAAATACTTATCAATTTATAACATTTTTGACATGCGTTTTTCTGGATTTTTTGTTGTTATTCTGTCTCTCACTGTTCAAATAAACGTAACATTAAAATTATAGACTGATCATTTCTTTGTCAGTGGGCAAACGTACAAAATCAGCAGGGGATAAAATAATTTTTCCCCTCACTGTATCACATTAAAGAAGGTCCATCAAGTAGAGGTTTGCTACCTTAGAGGAGAAAGTCAGATTTTTCTGACTTGAATAGGTGACCACAGTGACATTGGGTTCCATATAAAATCTTTAAAAGGTGCAATATGCAGAAATTGCTCCACCATTTCCTGGTTGCAAAAATTCTAGTAATTCACCTAATATCAGTTTATGTAACAAAACAAGCACTCACTGTGTAGCGAATCACTGTACCATCTAAACCGCTATGAAATATATTTTCCATAACCAAAAATATAGTAATTTCAGCTGTTTGAAGCTGGTGTACAAAACCGAAAGTAAGACGCAAAAACAAAACGTAAACATAGAAACAGCGCACACAGAACTCTATATCCTGCTCACGTCATCGTCTATTTATTTTGTGCAGAAATGATCTGCACATAAAAGTCTAGACTATGCACACATACTAAACTGTTCTAAAATAAAGGTCGCACGACAAATAGAAAAACTGAGAAACCTTTAAAATGAGTCAGCGTTTTTATCAAGCAGGAAATTCAATCAATAAAATCTCTGTTCAGATGCCAAAGAGCGCAGGCTAAATATGCACAGTTCTTCAGAGTAAACGGAAGGTAAGCACTTTTTCTCCCCAGTAAGTAAGTAAAGTAAAGTAGAGTAAAGAGCATGCGATTAGCTGTGTGTCAGTCAAGCACGGTCGTACTGTATAATGTGTTTCTGTGGTCTTAGGACAGGACACACACAGACAGGACACACACTCACCTGGACCAGGTCACCAGGAAAACAGAGAAAGAGAATGATAGAAAGGGACAGGAAGAGAAAGAGAGAGAGAGAGAGAGAGAGACAGAGATGGGTAGAGATAGATAAAAGAAAGATGAAGAAGCTCTGCTACATGGAGAGAAAGACAGGAAGTAGCCAGCCGGTTATGGAGGCCCCAGGGGTATTCTTACCTCCTCCACCCCTCTGGATGACCAGGCTGGTCTCAGCCCCGACGGCACACTCCTTGAGCAGCTCCACCACCTGGGTGTGACTGAGGCCCTGCACTCCCTGCTGGTTGATGTCTACGATCAGGTCCCCCTCACACAGACCAGGACAGCCCTGGGGCTCCAGCACCTGCTTCACCCTCTGGCCCGTCGGGCTGTCTGCGATGGTGAACCCGAACCCCTCCGCCCCCTTCACCATGGTCAGCGTCAGCAGCTCCGTCTGCGTCGCCCCCGATGATGCCATGGACACCGAGTCCTCGCCGTGCGGCCCGCCGGGCGTCAGGGAGGAGCCGTCCAGGTGGGTGTCGCCGGGGTGCGGCGGTGGGGGTTGATGGTGGTGGTGGGCATTGAGATGCTGGTCACCGTGTTCCTGGACAAAGCGCGCCGTGCGCGAGATGTAGTCCATGTAGCTGTCGTAGTTCGAGCGTCCGTTGACAAGGAGGGGGCGCTGCTCCATCAGGCCCAGTGGGGAGAGGAGGGTGGTGGTGGCGCCGGCGCTGGCGCCCGGGTCCTCGGGGTCGTAGGGCAGCTGGTAGCCACGGCACAGCACCAGGGTTACGCTCTGCCCGATGGGCACTGACTGGAAAAGCTTGACCACGTCGGCATGGGTGGTGCCCAGGACACACACGTCATTGATGTACACGATGACATCACCTGGAGGAGGGGAGGCACACAGCCAATCAAGGCCAAATACATTGCCAAAAACAAGACCTATAGTGTGTTCAATAGGGCTTATTCAATATTGTGTAGAAAAGGTATGGTTCTTTATCATGCAGAATAGGTCTTTGTCTCAGTATCAATACACTACATTTCTATCTGAAACATCATCTGAACGTTGCATTCCACTGAATAGGCTCCAACATTACTGTACCTGCATTGCACCTCAGATAATGGACATGAGAGTGAGATTTGCCACAGGTCATCACTATCACCTATCCCTACACACTCACTGCTATTTAGATAACTCAACTATTAATTGACAATTAATACACAACAGCTCTTTCTCTCTCTCGCTCTCGCTCTCTCTCTCTCTGACAAAGTGCCATATCTTCCGCTCTGTCTCCGGTGCTCTATTCTATTGAATATTGTCTTTTGTGTTCTGTCAGGTGAGATACGGCTCTCTATTTCAGAAGATGTTGATTAAGTGGGAGAACACAAGGTGGCATCCATATTTAATTTCAGTCTCGTCCAAAACGCACTGCCCAGGTTTATAATGACAATCATAATTGTTCAATTATAAGCATAATTATTATGCTGATGAGAGAGATAGAGAGGGAGAGGGAGAGAGAGAGAGGAGGAGGAGAGGAGAGAAGAGAGAGAGAGAGAGAGAGAGAGAGAGGGAGAGAGAGAGAGAGAGAGAGAGAGAGAGAGTAGAGCGATCCGAGAGAGAGAGAGGCAGAGAGAGAGAGGAGAGAGAGAGAGATTCTCTATCTTCTCGTCTCCTCCTTCCTCATCTCTCTCTCTCTCTCTCCCGTTGTTTCTACCTGGCATCTTCAGATGAGAGTGTAGCTCCTATGCTGTATGAAAGGTGAAAAGGCTAGTGGAGAGAGCTACCTCTTCATCAGGCTGTTAACTGAATGGCCATATTGTTTATATAGATGGAGGCAATAGGGTTGGTAGCTTCAGTGAACTGGGCAACTCCAATGAAATTTTAATTCATTCCCTTAAAATGGAATTGACCCAAACTATTCTAGATAATGACCAAAGCAAATGGTGTGAAGAGTACTATAAGTCTGAATAATTTCCTCCCGCATGACCTTAGCATATAGCCTGGTCCAACATCTGTACTGTTTAGTACAATCAATGTACAGTTCAAGTCGGAAGTTTACATACAGTTGATGTCGGAAGTTTACATACACTTAGGTTGGAGTCATTAAAACTCGTTTTTCAACCACTCCACAAATTTCTTGTTAACAAACTATAGTTTTGGCAAGTCGGTTAGGACATTTACTTTGTGCATGACACAAGTAATCTTTCCAACAACTGTTTACAGACAGATTATTTCACTTATAATTCACTGTATCACAATTCCAGTGGGTCAGAAGTTTACATCAAATCAAATCAAATTGTATTTGTCACATACACGTGTTTAGCAGATGTTATAGCGGGTGTAGCGAAATGCTTGTGCTTCTAGCTCCGATAGTGCAGTAATATCTAACAATTACACAATATATACCCAATACACACAAAAAAGTAAGGAATGGGATTTAAGAATATATACATATATGGACAAGCAATGACACAACGGCATGGACTAAGATACAGAAGAATATTATAGAATAGAATGCAGTATATACATATGAGATGAGTAGTGCAAGATATGTAAACATTATTAAAGTGACTAGTGTTCCATTTCTTAAAGTGGCCAGTGATTTCAATAGGCAGCAGCAGCCTCTAATGTGCTAGTGATGGCTACTTAACAGTCTGATGGCCTTGAGATAGAAGCTGTTTTTCATTCTCTCGGTCCCAGCTTTGATGCACCTGTGCTGACCTAGCCTTCTGGATGATAGCGGGGTGAACAGGCAGTAACTCGGGTGGTTAATGTCCTTGATGATCTTTTTGGCCTTCCTGTGACATCAGGTGCTGTATGTGTCTTGGAGGGCAGGTAGTTTGCCCCCGGTAATGTGTTCGGCAGACCGCACCACCCTCTGGAGTGCCCTGCGGTTGTGGGTGGTGCAGTTGCCGTACCAGGCGGTGATACAGCCCGACAGGATGCTCTCAATTGTGCATCTGTAAAAGTTTGTGAGGGTTTTAGGTGATAAGCCAAATTTCTTCAGCCTCCTGAGGTTGAAGAGGCTCTGTTGCGCCTTCATCACCACACTGTCTGTGTGGGTGGACCATTTCAGTTTGTCGGTGATGTGTATGCCAAGGAACTTGAAGCTTTCCACCTTCTCCACTGCGGTCCCGTAGATGTGGATAGGGGGGTGCACCCTCTGCTGTTTCCTGAAGTCCACGATCATCTCCTTTGTTTTGTTGATGTTGAGTGAGAGGTTATTTTCCTGGCACCACACTCCCAGAGCCCTCACCTCCTCCCTGTAGGCGGTTTCGTCATTGTTGGTAATCAAACCTACTACTGTTGTGTCGTCTGCAAACGTGTTGATTGAGTTGGAGGCGTGCTTGGCCACGCAGTCATGGGTGAACAGGGAGTACAGGAGGGGGCTGAGCACGCACCCTTGTGGGGCCCCAGTGTTGAGGATCAGCGAAGTGGAGATGTTGTTTCCTACCTTCACCACCTGGGGGCGGCCCGTCAGGAAGTCCAGGACCCAGTTGCACAGGGCGGGGTTCAGACCCAGGGCCTCGAGCTTAATGATGAGCTTGGAGGGTACTATTGTGTTGAATGCTGAGCTATAGTCAATGAACAGCATTCTTACATAGGTATTCCTCTTGTCCAAATGGGATAGGGCAGTGTGCAGTGTGATGCAATTACATTGTCTGTGGATCTATTGGTGCGGTAAGCAAATTGAAGTGGGTCTAGGGTGACAGGTAAGGTAGAGGTGATATGATCCTTGACTAGTCTCTCAAAGCACTTCATGATGACAGAGGTGAGTGCTACAGGGCGATAGTCATTTAGTTCAGTTACCTTTGCTTTCTTGGGTACAGGAACAATGGTGGCCATCTTGAAGCATGCGGGAACAGCAGACTGGGAAAGGGAGAGATTGAATATGTCCATGAACACACCAGCCAGCTGGTCTGCACATGCTCTGAGGACGCGGCTAGGGATGCCGTCTGGGCCGGCAGCCTTGCGGGGCTTAACATGCTTAAATGTCTTAATCACGTCGGCCATGGAGAAGGAGAGGCCACAGTCCTTGGTAGTGGGCCTCTTCAGTGGCACTGTGTTATCCTCAAAGCGGGTGAAGAAGGTGTTTAGCTTGTCTGGAAGTCGGTGTCGGCGACGTGGCTGGTTTTCTTTTTATTGTCCATGATTGTCTGTAGACCCTGCTACATACGTCTCATGTCTGAGCCGTTGAATTGTGACTCCACTTTGTCTCTATACTGATGTTTTGCCAGTTTAATTGCCTTGCGGAGTGAGTAGCTACACTGTTTGTATTCTGCCATATTCCCAGTCACCTTGCCATGGTTGAATGCGGTGGTTTGCGCTTTGAGATTTGCGTGAATGCTGCCGTCTATTCACGGTTTCTGGTTAGGGTAGGTTTTAATAGTCACAGTGGGCACAACATCACCTATACACTTGAGCCCACTGTGACTATTAAAACCTACCCTAACCAGAAACCGTGGATAGACGGCAGCATTCGCGCCGTACATACACTAAGTTGACTGTGCCTTTAAACATCTTGGAAAATTCCAGAAAATGATGTCATGGCTTTAGAAGCTTCTGATAGGCTAATTGACATCATTTGAGTCAATTGAAGGTGTACCTGTGGATGTATTTGAAGGCCTACTTTCAAACTCAGTGCCTCTTTGCTTGACGTCATGGGAAAATCCAAAGAAATCAGCCAAGACCTCAGAAAAAAAATTGTAGACCTTCACAAGTCTGGTTCATCATTGGGAGCAATTTCCAAATGCCTGAAGGTACCAGGTTCATCTGTACAAACAATAGTACGCAAGTATAAACACCATGGGACCACGCAGCTGTCATACCGCTCAGGAAGGAGACGCGTTCTGTCTCCTAGAGATGAACATACTTTGGTGCGAAAAGTGCAAATCAATCCCAGAACAACAGCAAAGGACCTTGTGAAGATGCTGGAGGAAACAGGTACAAAAGTATCTATATCCACAGTAAAACGAGTCCTATATCGACATAACCTGAAAGGCCACTCAGCAAGGAAGAAGCCACTGCTCCAAAACCGCCATAAAAAAGACAGACTACGGTTAGCAACTGCACATGGGGACAAAGATCATACTTTTTGGAGAAATGTCCTCTGGTCTGATGAAACAAAAATAGAACTGTTTGGCCATAATGACCATCGTTATGTTTGGAGGAAAAAGGGGGGACTTGCAAGCCGAAGAACACCATCCCAACCGTGAAGCACGGGGGTGGCAGCATCATGCTGTGGGGGTGCTTTGCTGCAGGAGGGACTGGTGCATTTCACAAAATAGATGGCATCATGAGGAAGGAAAATTATGTGGATATATTGAAGCAACATCTCAAGACATCAGTCAGGAAGTTAAAGCTTGGTCGCAAATTGGTCTTCCAAATGGACAATGACCCCAAGCATACTTCCAAAGTTGTGGCAAAATGGCTTAAGGACAACAAAGTCAAGGTATTGGAGTGGCCATCACAAAGCCCTGACCTCAATCCTATAGAACATTTGTGGGCAGAACTGAAAAAGCGTGTGCGAGCAAGGAGGCCTACAAATCTGACTCAGTTACACCAGCTCTGTCAGGAGGAATGGGCCAAAATTCACCCAACTTATTGTGGGAAGCTTGTGGAAGGCTACCTGAAATGTTTGACCCAAGTTAAACAATTTAAAGGCAATGCTACCAAATACTAATTGAGTGTATGTAAACTTATGACCCACTGGGAATGTGATGAAATAAATAAAAGCTGAAATAAATCATTCTCTCTACTATTATTCTGACATTTCATATTCTTAAAATAAAGTGGTGATCCTAACTGACCTAAGACAGGGAATTTTTACTAGGATTAAATGTCAGGAATTGTGAAAAACCTTTGTGAGGGTTTTAGTTGATAAGCCACATTTCTTCAGCCTCCATGTATTTGGCTAAGGTGTATGTAAACTTCTGACTTCAACTGTATGTATAATTACCATAGACGTTGGCAACTCAGCACAAACAGACCTGGGAACCAGGCTACTTAGCATACCCTGTCATTGTCATTTCCTTTGTGTGTGGAGACAGAACGCGTTCAGAGTTTGAATGGAGGTTCATATTGACAGAGCTAGCGATAACGTATTCCTGGAGGCAGCGTGACGCGCGGCAGCGGGACTGTTTAATTAATCTGGGTAAATACGGACGACATTTGCCTGGAGCCCTGGTGTCACAATCAATAGCTTCACACGCTCCTGGAAAACAGATGAACGCGCCATGACCTCATCATGCCATGGCCCAGGAAATCATTCTTTATGAGGGGGGGCGAGGAGGGACACACACCACTGCAGGAATTCACACGCATTTTCTCACATACCAAATATGCAGGTGTACATACAAACCAACACAATCACTTTCTCTCTCTGTCTCCATCCTCCGCTTTTCTATGACTTCCAGTTCTTTCTCAAAACAATCACGAACCTCTACTCCACATTACACTACGTCTTAAATCACCAATGTCCTCCAACCGCCACACTATGACCTGACCAATAGAAACACAACATCTAGCACCAAGGACCATGATGCTTCCATCACTCCCATCACTTCTATCTCCATTGTCTAATCACATCTATCATCTACTAATGGTCGTTCAACAGTATGGAACAGAAGACATGCTCCTCCTGCCAAGAACAGGCCATCATATCATAGTGTTAAAGTGTCCCCAGTAGGGGGGGTCTGACTGCAGTAGAGGCCATATGTGTCCATGGCGGAGGACAGAGTAGCCATCTGGACCATTGGCACACACACACACACACACACACACACACACAGAAATAAATACAAAGAGAGAGCGAGAGAGAGTTCGAGAGAGAGAGAGATATTGAGAAAGATGGAGAGAGAGAGAGAGAGAGATAGAGAGAGAGATGGAGAGAAAGAGAGAGAGAGATAGAGAGAGATGGAGAGAGAGAGAGAGTGCAGTAGCACTGATGATGACACAGTGACAACCATAGCACTGCAACTGCACTACTGACCCCACAGCACTGCACTGCTGTCACTGCAGAACGGCTATTTACTCTATAAGAATAGCAGGTAGCTTCCCTTCACAGGCAGATGCTTTTCGTTTTTAGATAAGGGTACGTGTGTGGGTTTAGTTGTGTAAACAAAGGTACGTTGCTATTGGTTTGACTGCATGAACCCAACCCTATGTCAATGGACCCTATCACATACTGTGCCACTTTATCCTCCTCCAATACATTCCAGGTCACTGTATAAGGTCACTGACTTTAACATGAAAAATACTGGGCTTTCCCTCTAACAAATACAGTGTCACATCTAACCACTGTGTCCCTGCTGAAAGAGATGGCATCATGTGTTTTTCCTCAACACATTTCTCTGGGTCTGGAACCATGTAGCGAGGCAGGCAGAAGAGGCCTTGTGTACGGTGTGAGTGTGTGTGTGTGTGTGTACGGTCAGAGAGTGACAAATAATCTGTCTGAAATTGGGAATTTCACACTTCCACAGGCCTGGTTTCCCTCTCTCCCTCTATTAAATATGTGCTGCTAGAATCCAACACAGCTTAACTAGGCCACTGAGTCTGGAGGGAGCGAGGAGAGGAGAGGAGAGGAGAGGAGAGGAGAGGAGAGGAGAGGAGAGGAGAGGAGAGGAGAGGAGAGGAGAGGAGAGGAGAGGAGAGGAGAGGAGAGGAGAGGAGAGGACCACAGAATAGATAGTATACCTA